CACATAAGCAAAAAGAAAAAAGCCGGAAGTGGTGCTGTGGCTCAAGTGGTAGAGCGCTAGCCTTGAGCTGAAGAGCTGAGGGACAGTGCCCAGGCCCAGAATTCAGGCCCATGACCGGACCCCAAAAAAAAAATGAATAAGTAAATCAATACATAAATAATAAAGATTCCTACTTTAAGAACTAAAGGTATATTAGAGTTGAAGATGCATCACATAAATTAATATTCAAAATAAAATGGCTCATGCTTTATAAAAATGAGTATCAAGTACTGGTAAGGATGAAGAGTTACTACTGGAACTTGAACATGCTACTATATGCAAACTAATAAAATAGTTTAGAAAACTGGCTAATCTATACTGAGGAAGACATGCAGATGCCTTATTACACAACAGTTTCAATCCTAGGTGTAAACCTACACAAAGAAACATGTATGTCAGCCTGGCGCCACTGGCTCAAGCCTGAAATCCTAGCTACTCAAGAGGTTGAGATGTGAGGATCGTGGTTCAAAGCCAGCCTGGGCAAGGAAAATCCCAGAGACCTTTTTTTTTTTTTTTTTTTCTCGGTTGGTTGTAGGGCTTGAACTCTGGGTCTGGGCACTGTTCCTCAGCTCTTCAGCTCAAAACGAGCACTCTACACTTGAGCCACAGCACCACTTCCAGTTTTCTGGTGGTTAATTGAAGATAAGAGTCTCATGGGTGGGCTAGGAAGGTGGCTCAGTGGTAGAGCGCTTGCCTTGCATACATGAGGCTCTGGGTTCGATTCCTCATCACCACATAAGCAGAAAAAAAAGCTGGAAGTGGTGCTATGGCTCAAGGGTAGCGCGCTAGCCTTGAGCTGACGAGCTGAGGGACAGCACCCAGGCCCAGAGTTCAGGCCCAATGACTGGACCCAAAGAGTCTCATGTACTTCCTGCCCTGGTTGTCTTTGAACCCAGATCCTCAGATCTCAACCTCCTGAGTAGCTAAGCTTACAGGTGTGAGCCACTGGCGCCAAGCTCCCTGAGACACTTATCTCCAGTTAACCATCAGAAAACCAGAAGTGGTGCTGTGGCTCAAGTGGTAGCGCGTTTGCCTTGAGCTGAGGGACAGCACCCAGGCCCAGAGTTCAAGCCCCCTGACTGACAAAAAAAAGAAAAGAAAAGAAAGAAAAAGCAACAGGTATGTCTATTCACAGGCACAAAAATGCATGTAGCAGCATTCTTCATAACAATCAAATAACATAACCTCATCTTATATATTTACAGAATGTATTTTGTGTAGCAACTATAACACAGTAATTAAAAAGAATGACACACTATAGATGAAGCTCATAGGAATGATAAGCAAAAGAAGACAGATGCAAAAGAGTATACACTCAATTATGTGATGTTTCAGAATAGGCAAGATCAATTTGTGACAACCTGATCAGAGCAAGGTTATTTCTGGGAAGCAGAGTTTGAGTTAGGAAAAGGCATAAGGGGATGCTTCAGAAAGCTGAAAATATTTAATATACTATATATATGTAAACATTCATCAAGCTGTATAATTTAGTTTCATTTTAAAACTGAACATATTGCTCAAAGGAAAATAAAGAAGCTAGATAAATTTAGAAGGTACCAAGAAATAAATCAATGGACTCCTGTATTTGGTACTTACTTTGGATGCTGCCCAGTCAATCCAGCCTTTAGCACACGGATCAATGTTAATGAGCACAAGACCTTCCACAAGCTCTGGATGATTGAGCTGAAAGGAGACATATGACAGTTCCACTTTGACCGGTCTTCCAAACAGCAGGGACAAGGTGAGTGATTTATTTTATGCCTCTTGTCTCGTCTCTTGTGTAAGACCACAGAGGTAGGTAGAAAACAGCTCTTGAAATCTGACTTTGCATGTTAAAGCCAGTCCTCAAACTGCTATCAAATGACCTTGCCCTGCTGGGATCTATATATAGTTGTTGGTTGGTCGTGGGCTCTGGGCCTGGGTGCTGTCCCTCAGCTCTTCAGCTCAAGGCTAGTGCTCTATCACTTGAGCCACAGCACCACTTCCAGCTTTTTCTGCTTATGTGGTGCTGAGGAATCGAACCCAGGGCCTCATGCATGCAAGGCA